TTAATACTGCCGTAAATAATTAATTTAAAAATTATTGTTTAACCAAGTATAGATATGTGGAATTATTTTCTGTAAATTCAACCTTGCCTTAGACAAATTATAATTAGTGATAGACTTTGAAATAAAAACTAATTTATGATATTATTAATGAAAAACGTTATTATTAAAGCAATTTCTTCTTTCCTCTCTAATAGTTTGATATTTTTTATTTGTATCACTTTTTTTGCGGGTGTGCGATATGTGTAGATATACATACATCAATATGAAACGGTTATGATTGATTGAATACGTACGTTTAAGACATTGAATGCGAGGTTAGTATATAATATTTCCAAAACAGAATTATTATTATTTATTGTACAGTTCATATAAAAGAATGTCAAGTGATCCCAATTTCGACATCGACACTCCTTGTTTGTTGGACATTGGAAAGCAAAAATGCTTATCATAGCGATGAAGTGAATTATGATGCATGTTTTATGACAGGTACTCATTTTCGTCTGATTAACCTATGAAAACTATTGAGTAAATGTATTATTAAATAAAGATTAATTTAATAATTACAAAGAAAAAGAATTTTTTTAAACTTTGAGATACTCTCTGATATTGGATAGATTTATTTCTTAAAGTTTCAAATAAGTCTCAAATAATTAAAAAATCGTAGGACCTGTCTTAAAGACACACTTTGTTTTGCTAGCATTTTGTTTTATAATGTGTATAATATGTATAAGAATTGTATATAAAAATTATAATACATGGATTGGTTTTGACAATTTTTGCACAGATAAGTGCAGTTATTTGTTTACGAATTAGTTAGGTTTAATTTAGCTGTGTATGTAAATCGTGTTAGGAACACAACAGTAAAATTATTAAACGCTGTTTATTGTTTACGTAAGTGACATATAAATATACATGTTCCACTTGCAAATAATAATTTGAATTTTCTTCTTTATTATCTTTAAATATTATAGCAAGTAGGAAGCAATGTTTAGAAAAACAGAAATCGATTATTCTTGAAAATAAATTACATCAACAAATAAAAAAATATTGTATTACCCGGCAATATTTATTTCTTAACGATTGTAAAACTTACACATTTTGTAAACGCATTAATTACAGAGCGAATATACAATTAAATTCTACACTACATACGTGAATTATCATTAACAGAAAGTGACGCATAAATACATTCATAAAAATAAAATTCATACTATTTACTCACCTTATATTATATTAAATACGTTGCAAATGTTTTCGAGCTCCGTTTTTAGATTGCTTTCTTTAATAAAAAATAATGATGACAAATGATGCTGGATAATATTTCTATCTACGAGTATCACACATATGCACTGCTTGGCATGTTCCTTCACATTTCTGATAGATCAATTTGTTTTAATTGTGAATTATGTTTCTTTGAAAATTATGGAATAAGCAATGGATTAATAAAATGACATAAAAAGAATCATGCCAGATCTAATTAACAAAATTATAATCACGTTTCACATTCGCAAACAGTATATTTCAAACAATCAGTCATCTGTTAGGTGGCTGATCGGAGCTTGAACACTTTTCTCACCAATGAAAATTGGAGAGTTGTTGCCCCTGAGCTGGTTCAACATGGACTGACTGAGTGATCGCGAACTTTTTTTTTCTCTCTTGACTGTTTCCGCACTTTTATTGTTTCACTGTTATTTAGTTTTTTTTAGCTATGTATAATTATACAATATACAAAAAATGTGTTTAATTGTATGCGTGATACGTAAGAAATTAAAAGCACAAAACATAAATAATTAATTTTTCTTGACGATATTTTTAGACTTTCTAAAACAATTATCAGCATCTCACTTAATTAATCTCGAATAATCAGCAGAATTTCCTATCACGAAACCGCAAAATGAAAGGAAGAAAGGAAGATATGGAGAAAGATTACCTTACTGCGTGCGTTCTAATTTTTTAAATACGAGATGTTTGTCACACTATTATATTTATACTACACATACTACACATACTGATATTTAAATTTAATTAGAAAATTTAATTACAAAATAAGTTAAACAAAAATTAAAACTGATTTAAATTAATAATATTTTTAAATATTTCTATTTCTATTGTTTAAAGAAGATGAACAACATTTGTCAGTGAATAATATATTGTCAATGTTTCTAAATTGTAAGTAACATATTTGTGTACGTATGTATATTTTGCTATATTTCTGCATAACTAATTAAGTCATGCAAATAGGTAAAGTTAAGTATCATATAAGGTTACCCATTTTCAATGCCAACCTAAAATATGTTGAAAAAATTGCATTATTCAAAAAATGTATTATAAAAAAGTTGAAATTTAAAGAAGCGGTAAACTTGTGGCATAACAACACGCACTGCACAATCTTACTAATAACAAATTTTGTTACAAAAAAAATTAATTTTTTTTTATATGATAAATGTTTTAGTTTAGGTGGCAATTAAAAAATAAAACGTAAAATGTATTAAATAAGTAATTAAAGTTTGTAGATATTTTGAATGTGACAATTTATATTTGCCTCATTTTTGTTATTTTGAAATTGTTTTGACATTTATGTGTTTAGATATATGCAAAATTTTTATAAATATATTTAGCTTACTTATATTTAAATCAATTATTATTCTTTTTTTTCTTTTTGGAATATCTCAATTTTGTCCACTTTCGGAAGGTAATGGCGATTATTAAAAATAATGATATCAATTTAGCCACTCGTATCACAGCATATGCACAGTATTAACATATCAAAACATTTGATCCGTTTCCTTAGCTTTGTGTCGTTTAAAAAAACTTGGAATAAACATATAGATAGGCATTTCACTGTGTTTATCTAATTTGTGAAACTGTAGTTGCGTATTATACTTGCAAACGTTTTTAAAGACTGCCAACCGTCAACCTTATCTCATCCGCTATGTTATGCTGGAAGCCTTTTCATCTTTAGTTGAAGAAACTATTATATTATTATTGGCATGACGACACTAATAAACTGCATGACGACTCTAAGTAACTGCAAACACACTTTACTCTTGTCTTCTTCTTTTATTTCTTCTCTCTTCACTCTTTTTTTATTGTTTTTTTGTCTCATTCATTTTCTTTAAAGATACTATAAAAATATATAAAAATTTTATATAACAATAACATATAATAATCTTGGGAATTTTCAATGAAGAGAGTAACAGAAAAGATGGATAAGAAGAAATGTAAAATGAAAAATCAATGATGTTGCATGCCTGATAATTCGTCTATGGATATATGAAAGAATATAGGGGAAGGTGGGGTAAGACGGACCGCGGGGTAAAATGGTCCATTTGCTAGATCTTATTAGTACGTACCTCTATCTGCTGGATAAACATAAAATTAATTTCCTTTTTGATGCTTTTTAACTGTTTAAAAATTACGTCATTATATCATAAGACTATCGTAAGTTATTTATAAAGAAACGTCAAATTCTTGCAAATAGATCTCGTGATCTAATTTCTTAGTATTACATTTTAAGTGACTAAGATTGCAAAACTTAAAATTTTTAAATTTTTCTACAAGTTCCATATTTTTGGTTATTTAGAAGTAATATTTCATCAGTTACATTTAAAAAATAATTTTGATACAGGTAAATAAAAATAAGATAATATTAATGTTGTTATGTGGGTAAAATGG